TATTCCTGTCCACCTCGTCCCTTTCCCACTCCTCTCTTGTAGGGAAGGCAATATTGTGGACCGAATTTAGCTTCAATTCTATTGGATTGCGGAAATCCGTGGTTTTGGGTAGGAACGGGAATATACTGAGTATCCTAAAATGCCCCTTGTTGCATGCGACTAGTTGGGAGGATTCCCTCAGTCTGAGAGCTGACTTTGCTGCCACTTGCTTACAGAACAGATCTGTTGGCAGTAAATGTAGAATGACGTTTAGAGCCTGGCTTGGCGTTGTTCTAAGAGCTCCACTAATGCATATACTGACTGCTCTTTGTATACTTTCCATACGCTTTACCGCGTGTTTCTTTTCCATTATTGGCCACCATACCATCCCCCTGCGGGTAGGGGTAAGAATTTACCCGCGGTAAGGCATGCCTGTCGTAAAAGGCGACTAAAAGCCAAATGCACTATGACTGTTATTATGTACCTTGCTCAGTAATATCAGCATAGTATGTCAGAAATAGTGCTATAATACTCAGCTTGAACTGATATTATAGACTTTAAATGAAAAAGCAAATAAAAAGACATTTGAAGTTCAAGCGACAAAAGTCACCAGTCATTGAGTAATGGGTTGCTCAACTGGCAGTAGTTTCGGCTACACAGTCTTAACGGAGACTTTCTGGTACCACGGGGAGCAAAAAGCCCGTAGACTTCGGTCCAATCTGCACATTGGATTATGGCCCCTTTGGGGAGATTCGTGGTGGCTGTGGTTGAAACCTAAATGCAGGAAGAACTGAAAATTCAGCCTAACTGTTTTTTCAGTTCTAAAATAAAGTTGCAAAAAGCAACTGGGTTCCGTACCCGAAAACGGAAGAGGTTTTAGGTCGGCCTTCAATCATACCAAGATGGTAGTGTGGACCCAGACACACTGTCACTGGTATCCAAATAAATACTTGCAAATAGCTCGTATTGTTTGGGGCGCTTATCAACGCATTGTATTGATATGCTGTGTTTTGGAACACCGTGAGGTAAGGCCGTCGCCGGCAGGTACTCACGTAAATCAACAACGAAAGTTGGCCACCATACCAATATACCGTATGTCATCATTGGTCTGACAACTGCTGTATAGAGCCAATGAGTTACCCGAGGCGTTAGCCCCCATTTGGGGCCCACCATCCTTTTACAGGTGTAGAGTGCTGTGGCTGCCTTCTTCACCCTAGCGTCCAAGTTTTGCTTCCATGAAAGCTTCCTGTCTAAGATTAGTCCCAGGTAGCTTGCCTTATCTCCAATTGTTAGTCTGCAACCATTTATTAATGGCGCCATAACTTCTGGAGTATTATGTTTTCTGATGAACAGTACTAGTTCTGTCTTACCAGCATTTAAGTTTAATCCGCACGATACAGCCCAACGATTTATATCGTCCAAGATCGTTGCATAAGGTTTGCGAAGTATTCGGGAATTTACCTCTAGTAGGCCACAACATGTACCCCTTCTTTTCTAGATCCAAGAGCAACTTATTCATTGTCAGGACCCAGAGAAGTGGGGATAACACGCCTCCTTGAGGTGTACCTCTTTGGACAGATCTGCACATCGTTGACGCTCCCAGCGTTGAAATTATTGACCTGCTCTTGAGCATCTGTTCAATTAATTTTCTGAGAGGTTCAGAGATGTCCAGATCCTTAAGCGCACTCAGTATGGCCCTAGGCTGAATATTATTGAAGGCTCCTTCTATATCTAAGAAGCAAGTAGAGTGTATTCTTTAACTTCCAGAGATTTTCAATCTCCGCCACCACAGAGCTTAGTGCTGTTTCTGTGGATTTTCCTTTAGAATACGCATGCTGCGAACCAGCCAACTTTTCTGGTTTCAGTTTGTTTCTTATATGTAATTCTATTAGTCTTTCCAGCGTTTTTAAAGGAATGAGAGAGGCTGATTGGCCTGAAGTCCTTCTGACTCTAAAATTAAAATAGAAATATTTGTTTAGCGATGTTAAAACTTAAGATTTGAAATAAAAGCGCTTTATAATATTGCATGGGTCAGAGGACGAGTTAACGCAAGTTTGCATTGCAAGCGCTGCAGGGTTTTGAACAACTAGTATAGTTTTTGATTCGATATCTCCAACCTTTTCGAATCGAAGACAGCTATTGAATTGTTTTTAGGTGAGATTATGACTATTTTGAAGCTGCCTAAGCCAGCAAAAGAAAACATTTTATCATAATGCCTTGGCTATACATCTCTGTGGAACATAGAGATTATTAACTTAATTTTATTAATTCTGAAGTGCAGTTCTACATATTTCCATAACAGGCAATACAAAATCAATTTGCTTCAAAATGTAACCATGGCCGATTCAACAATGATATATCCTAAGTTTTCGCCTAGATCTCCTGTTTGTTCAACTTTATTTAATTTAGACCAAAAGACACATATTCTTCTTTTTATAGTTTAATTTCAGTTTCAATAACCTTTTTGTCAGTTTAGATGATACCTTTAGTGTCCTCTAGAAAAGCAACAAGGGTCTTTTTCTAATAGCTTAAAAACATGTGCGTAAATTTTAAGTAAATTGTAGGGGCAAAATAATCAAGTACACCCAGAATCGATTATAAAATTATTTAATAACATTTTAATTTAATCTCAATATTTTGTTAACAATTTGCATTTTTGCTTGCTTCTGTATTTTGTATCGTATAATTCAGATCTTTTTAAAATATTTTTTTTTTTTCACTTTATTTTAGAACTGAAAAAACAGTTAGGCTGAATTTTCAGTTCTAAAATAAAGTTGCAAAAAGCAACTGGGTTCCGTACCCGAAAACGGAAGAGGTTTTAGGTCGGCCTTCAATCATACCAAGATGGTAGTGTGGACCCAGACACACTGTCACTGGTATCCAAATAAATACTTGCAAATAGCTCGTATTGTTTGGGGCGCTTATCAACGCATTGTATTGATATGCTGTGTTTTGGAACACCGTGAGGTAAGGCCGTCGCCGGCAGGTACTCACGTAAATCAACAACGAAAGTTGGCCACCATACCAATATACCGTATGTCATCATTGGTCTGACAACTGCTGTATAGAGCCAATGAGTTACCCGAGGCGTTAGCCCCCATTTGGGGCCCACCATCCTTTTACAGGTGTAGAGTGCTGTGGCTGCCTTCTTCACCCTAGCGTCCAAGTTTTGCTTCCATGAAAGCTTCCTGTCTAAGATTAGTCCCAGGTAGCTTGCCTTATCTCCAATTGTTAGTCTGCAACCATTTATTAATGGCGCCATAACTTCTGGAGTATTATGTTTTCTGATGAACAGTACTAGTTCTGTCTTACCAGCATTTAAGTTTAATCCGCACGATACAGCCCAACGATTTATATCGTCCAAGATCGTTTGCATAAGGTTTGCGAGAGTATTCGGGAATTTACCTCTAGTAGGCCACAACATGTACCCCCTTCTTTTCTAGATCCAAGAGCAACTTATTCATTGTCAGGACCCAGAGAAGTGGGGATAACACGCCTCCTTGAGGTGTACCTCTTTGGACAGATCTGCACATCGTTGACGCTCCCAGCGTTGAAATTATTGACCTGCTCTTGAGCATCTGTTCAATTAATTTTCTGAGAGGTTCAGAGATGTCCAGATCCTTAAGCGCACTCAGTATGGCCCTAGGCTGAATATTATTGAAGGCTCCTTCTATATCTAAGAAGGCAAGTAGAGTGTATTCTTTAACTTCCAGAGATTTTTCAATCTCCGCCACCACAGAGCTTAGTGCTGTTTCTGTGGATTTTCCTTTAGAATACGCATGCTGCGAACCAGCCAACTTTTCTGGTTTCAGTTTGTTTCTTATATGTAATTCTATTAGTCTTTCCAGCGTTTTTAAAAGGAATGAGGAGAGGCTGATTGGCCTGAAGTCCTTCTGACTCTAAAATTAAAATAGAAATATTTGTTTAGCGATGTTAAAAACTTAAGATTTGAAATAAAAGCGCTTTATAATATTGCATGGGTCAGAGGACGAGTTAACGCAAGTTTGCATTGCAAGCGCTGCCAGGGTTTTTGAACAACTAGTATAGTTTTTTTGATTCGATAATCTCCAACCTTTTCGAATCGAAGACAGCTATTGAATTGTTTTTAGGTGAGATTATGACTATTTTGAAGCTGCCTAGAGCCAGCAAAAGAAAACATTTTTATCATAATGCCTTGGGCTATACATCTCTGTGGACACATAGAGATTATTAACTTAATTTTATTAAATTCTGAAGTGCAGTTCTACATATTTCCATAACAGGCAATACAAAATCAATTTGCTTCAAAATGTAACCATGGCCGATTCAACAATGATATATCCTAAGTTTTTCGCCTAGATCTCCTGTTTGTTCAACTTTTATTTAATTTAGACCAAAAAGACACATATTCTTCTTTTTTTATAGTTTAATTTCAGTTTCAATAACCTTTTTGTCAGTTTAGATGATACCTTTTAGTGTCCTCTAGAAAAGCAACAAGGGGTCTTTTTTCTAATAGCTTAAAAAACATGTGCGTAAATTTTGAAGTAAATTGTAGGGGCAAAATAATCTGAAGTACACCCCAGAATCGATTATAAAAATTATTTAATAACATTTTTAATTTAATCTCAATATTTTGTTAACAATTTGCATTTTTTTTGCTTGCTTCTGTATTTTGTATCGTATAATTCAGATCTTTTTTAAAATATTTTTCATACTTAAGATTGCTAACAAGTTTCTTCGGGCGGGCCACTATAAATATCAATATTTATTACTCGCTACTGGGTACACCCCCATACCTAACTACATTCATACGTATACGCACATACATTTCTACACACAAATAATAATATTTTTTATAAATGTATGCTTATAAGTAATTAACTACTAGATTATAATCTTTAAAAATTTCCAGACGTCATATATTACAACTTTATAACTAAATTTCTTTTGATTTGAATTAAAATTGGACGTGCTAATTTTGATTGCTACAAATATCGACCGAGCGAAAGAGCATTAGAGTGATAAAATATTTATTAACTTACATGAACTTTGAAAGCGTGCCGTTTGTTCCATTTATGACTGTTTGTGATAATATGCTATTAAAGCTCCAACACTCAACTATGCAGGCTGTTATCACAAGTGTACGTATCAGCAAATCGTACATGATTACATTACCCTGAAATATGTGGAAAAGAAGATACATTCGAAAAAAGTGAGTTACACTTTGACTGTTTAGTTTTAATTAAATTCAAGCGAAAATTTTTTACGCACATATCTGTGTAAATGTGTATGTATGTATCTATTATGACATCACAAATATTATCGCGAAAACACTCTTATCAGTGGATACAATAAAACTCTTTCACATTGTTTTCACTGAAAACTCCATACTAAGTTATTGCCTAAGCGATATAGTCGACATCGTAGATGATTAAGAATATATTACATATATACCATATACACACATTCATGCATATGTATGTCTATTTAAAATATATATTAAGCTGATTTAAAAAATTTGCACTTTGCATGTGTTTCTGCGATGATCATCTGCGAGCAGATTAATTTATTATTTTGTTAAACTCGCTTTGCTGGTTCACTAAAAATTCATACCCATATGCACTTATGAATACTCGTATATACATAAGTATGTACATACAAATGTGTGTACGCATAAAGTCGAATATTTGTTTAATTAAAACAAGCTAGAACTTTTTGTGCTGTTGCAAATGTTTTAGACCGTATAGCAAAGCAAACACAAAAACAAATTCTACTACATATGTACATATTTACATACATACATATGTTCACTGCATTTACAGACACTTGTCGAACGTACAAGAACTATCCACTTAAACATCCGCTCACACAATTGCTACGCACACACGTTTAAATAATTAAAAAATCAAGAAGCTACTACAACTTTAAAAGAATTGTCCCTTAGTTGGTAGATTCATAGAAATGAAGTTACTCACGAATTTTTTTTCAAGATGTGTGAGTAATGCTCACCGGTATTTTTTTCGCAGCGCGCTTTCAATTCACTTTATTTATTTGTTTGTGTGCGCTTGCTATACCGCTCGAAATACAATTTTATTATTTGTGTTATTGCTAATATATGCATGTACAAATGTATATAAGCATATATACCGTGCGCTCACAACCGACTTGACTGAGTTTAGCGAATAATAGTTAAAGAATGAGCCTTTGGCTGTAAATAGAATTCTTTTGGCCTAATGTTGAGTATCATTATATTGGAATTCGTGCATTTATTTTGTGATAAGATAACGGTATTAGGGATTTATGTGCTTGGCAAACCCGTTCACTACCGTTTTACCGGTGCCTTCGAAATTGGATAACGTAGTGGCACAAAATCGCACTTTTGAAATTAATATCAACTTATTTAGCACCGCACAGACACCAAACACTCACACACGGATGCACAAATATTACATAATTTAGATATTAACAACTTTACTGTTCAGTAGAGTATTATAAAAAAGCACAACCAACTACAGAGTGGCAGCTGATGAAGTTTTAACTGGAATTGCCATTCGTCTGTCATAATAAGTAAATATTTACATTAAATGTGTTGCTACTTTAACTCAGCAACGCTAGCTTCATTCTACAAAAACCGGAGTGTATAATTTAGTAAAAGCGGAAAGCGTCGCTAACTATCAACGTTTCCGTCGAACTGATCGAAGGCTTTCCGTGTGCGTTATGTCCTTTGTTAACAGAAAGAGAAGAGTCAAGCTTCATAAATTTTTAAGTCCGTAGTAAATGCTATCACTTAAGTTTTTTTGAGTCCTTATGGTAGTAGTAACCATCCACATGGCTGTTCACAAATTAATATTTCGTTCAAACGTTAAGATAAATTGGAGAAAATGACAGTCTTCAAACTGTAACAGCATTTTTCAAAATAACTGTTTTTTGTTTGAATCCATAATGTCAAAATCAGCCGTTTTACTTTCTATTGTTTTGTTTTTATGGTTCAGAAATAAATTTTTCAAAGATTTCGTCCAATGAAAATGCGTTTTTTGAGTGATAACTGAATACGAATAGATTGTAAATCACACAAAATCATCTACATGTAAACGATAATATCACAAAAAAACAGCTGATTTTGACATTATGGATAAAAATACTTTCTCATAAGAGGGAACACGCTCCGTTTCGACACAACCTTGTACGTATAATTGAATTATGACACAAAAGCATCAACATGTAAACAAGAAATGCATGAAAAAACAAAAAAAAAGTTTTTTTGACTTTATAGAATAAAAATTTGTTTCGTAAGAAGAAACACGCTCCGAAATAACACAACCTACATACATATGTATATTTATATATGTATGTAATTGAATCATGATTTGATACGGAAAAAGTTTTTTTTAAATTAAATATTCACATTTCTATCAATGAAGCGACGTGTTATATACATATACATATACATATATACCTTAAGCGAATTTGGTTATTATATTATTACATGATTATTGCAACTTTATTATTGTATGGAAACTAAGTATTTTTTTTAAATACATTATAAATATAGTACAGCAACGGTCAACTAATTAACAACGATATGCAGCAAAGAAATCATTATGTCCTAATAGCAATATGTCTTAAATCGGTTAAAACTTTTTGCTTTATTTTAATTTTAAAATGGGAACCATTGCGTTGTTTGTCAACATTTATTCAAAAAGTCCCGTTAGTTTCTAACCTCAGTCTTTTTCTTAAGCAAGCTTAAATTGCTATCCGTCACGTTGTTAGCAACGCAGTTTTTCCTTTTCTTCACATTTACAAATAATTTAGGTAACTTTCATAAATTTATGCATGTTACAATAAATTAGTAAAGTATATGGGCAGAAACAAATCCTGTGACGAAAGTACGAGAGCCATTATTATTAGAATGCGCAACGACTGATATTCTTGCAGTTCAGAAAATTATATTAACAAACTACATATTATTTAAAAAGCAGTAAAATGTCGGTTAATTATCCTCCAAAAGTTTAAATTATTCTAGTCAACTTTCGACTTATGAATGGTAACATGATTTAAAGGGCAGCGTTGCTAACTAGGAGACCGCAACGGTATGTATTGTACATACCATACATACATTTGTAAATTAAAATGATTATTTTTTTAAGTTTTTGTATACTTAAATATTGAACTGCATTCCTCACGAAGTAACATGAAGTGTATATAAAAATTAATAAAATATATAAAATATATAAATTAAGAATATATATAACAATTATATTTATTATTTGCAAGCATATACAAATTTTTTCCGAAACGATGACACCCTGTAGTCGTGCTTAACAACTATATTAAATACAGATTTTAATTGAGTTTAAATAAATAAAGCAACTTTTAGTTAGTCACTTTAAAAGCAGTTTTAAATATATTTGTTCCAAAAATATTTTTACTTGATTAAGACGATTTTATTATATACAAAACAAAAACGAAGTCGCAAATTATTATGGTAGGCTTGCACTTTTTTCCATCATGCGCACTTCTCGCACACAACACATGCAGGTGGCAACATCGTTTCGCCATATTGCACAAAACGACTGCCAGAGGTCGTCTTCGGCGTTCTAAAATAAAAGACTCGCTGTGATTGGTCATTGCCTACTGTACGTTTTGCGAGTTAAAAAGTGAGGAAAAATCACTAGAGAATAAAAAGTTCATAAAAATATATAAATTGTTGTTGAATAGTGCAAATTTTTTATAAATCAAATACAAGTGTTCGTGCTTTTTCGATGGTGTATAAAATTTTGTGAAAAAGTTATAGCTTATAGACATAAAGTGAAAAATCGTTTTTCATAATGGCGGCCTCGTTTGGGCTTGAGTTTTCGACTGGCGAAGCCATCAATTGAATAAGCGCTAAAGATACAGTTTTGGGAGGAAGGTAGAGTATTTAGCAGAATTGTCAAAAATATGCAAACATTTTTTTTTTAACTCATTGAGTAAAGTGTTTGTTTTTGTTGAAATTTAATAAATGATAAAACGCTTGCTTGTAATGCTTAATAATGCTTGGTTGTTTGCGTTTCAATTTTAATAAATAACCTTCAATTTTTTATTCCTGATTTTCTTCAGGTTTTTCAGCATCGCGATCTATTTATTTTTATAAAAAGTTATTTTAAAAAGGATATTGGCAACTATTATAAAATATATTTTTAAAAAAAATTTTAACTAAACGAAGTTGTTAAAATAATGAGTGGACGTGGTAGTCGAAAACGGGGTAGGCCACCGAAGACGCCAAATGAGCGCGCTGGAACTAAATTTAATTATCAGCTGTTGAAAAAGCCAAAATATTTGAGCAAGGCCAGTGATTCTCAGTTAAGTACTCCATCGGCTTCGCGTGCTTCTTCACCCCAGGAAAGTGATGGCAGTCGCAGCTATAACAGGAAATCTACCAGCAAAAGCACCAGAGGCAGATCTCGTAAATCGACAAGTAGTACGGCTAATGTAAGCCGGAGAGGAGGTAATACTAGTAAACAAACACATTTGTTTACATTTTCTTTTGACTTTAGATATTACAACATGACAATGGTTTTAAATGCATACCTAGTGTGGTTATTTTTGTTATTACTTTTGGTAGAATTTTCTTATATTATAAATTATTTTTATTTCTTTGAAAGTAAATTTGTTATGTACATAGTATAAAATATAAGTTTATTTTACTGATACAGAAAATATACACGTATTTATACGAAATACTTTAAGGCAATATATCTAATAAATAAGTTATTTACGAATATAGGTATGGTTCCATTTACTCATATAAAAAAATGCCTTTAAAAGTATGTATTGTTTTATATAAAATAATGAGATTGATATAAATAATTCATATGGTTAATATTTATTGCTAATATATGTATTGGCATGGAATTTAATCATTAACAATCTTTAACTTTATTCGTTTTCTCCTAATACATATGTATCTTATATGCCGATACCTTCAAAAGTATTTGCTATATTCTTACCAGACTATACTAGACCAAACCTATTTGAAAACTTCGTTTAAATTATATTTTTATGCAAATTTTTTTAATTTTCTAAATATTTTATGCATATTTTCAATTTGTATAGCGATTGATCAAAATCAGATATAACATATATGAAAGATTTACAGCAACTCTTTATGGCCAATTAGGTACTCTTAGTTACTTGTTTCAGCCAGAATATAAATGGCAAATAGGTAAACAATTATTTTAGTTTTAATGCGAATGGCTTCCCAATCGGTTTTATTCTCAAACGAAAAGATTCCCCATTTATTAGTTATCATAATAATTACTTTTATTGAAAAAATTAGTAATATATGGCAAATGTACATCAGCTTAAGTAATTATAAATTTCAAGTTAGAATTATAACGATAAAATTAAGAAAGTATATACGATTTGCCAGAAACTTCTTTATTTCATTTAATTTATAATCGACTACATATTTTAATTGTTCTAATATTTTCTTCCATAGGCTACGAATCGGAATATCACTATGGCTCTGATTTTGGGGATTCTAGCGAAAAGAGTGACATTGATGACGAATTACTCTGTTCTGCCACAGATGAAGAGAGCCTTGACGCAGCTAACGAAAGTGAATCCGAATTCTCTGTGTGTAGTTTTACTCAAAATGGTGTAGGTCGTCCACCACGACCACCAAGTCCTGAACCAATTTGGTTGCAGGATCGCGAATATGATCCGCTCGAATTGCCTGAATCTTCAGAAGATTTGCTAATGAAAAATGAATTTTTACTTAAGGCTCTTAGTATATATGAAGTTTTACGAAGATTTCGCCATTTGGTGCGTTTGTCACCTTTCCGTTTTGAGGATTTCTGTGCAGCTTTAGCATGTGATGAGCAAAGCGCTCTTATCGCAGAAATACACATCATGTTATTAAAAGCAATTTTACGCGAAGAAGATGTACAGGGCACACACTTTGGGCCACTTGATCAAAAAGACACTGTCAATATAAGTCTATACCTTATTGATGGTATAACATGGCCCGAAGTACTACGTTGCTATGTAGAAAGTGACGGAATATTCAGCCGAGAAGTATATAACATATTGAGTGCTGGTGATTATCCATTAACAGGTGTCGCCGATCGCATAATAGTTTTACAATTTTTAACTAATCAGTTTTTAACAACGAATGCTGTACGTGACGTAATGTTACAAGAGGGGCCAATACATTATGATGACCATTGCCGCATTTGCCATAGATTAGGTGATTTATTATGTTGCGAAACATGTCCTGCCGTTTATCATTTGGAGTGTGTGGATCCTCCACTGAACGACGTACCAACTGAAGATTGGCAGTGTAATTTGTGTAAGTCACATAAAGTAACTGGTGTAGTCGATTGTGTGTTGCCACAAGAAAAACAAGGTGTACTTATAAGGCAAGATATACTCGGCTTGGATAGACACGGCCGCAAATTTTGGTTTATTGCGAGGAGAATTTTCGTCGAGGGTCAACCCGATTTGGATAACGGCAAAATTTGGTACTACAGTACAGAGTCGAAATTGGAGCATCTACTAAGCGTAATCGACAAAGATGATTTGGAAACTGGATTATACAATCAATTGACAGAGCGTAAAGATGAAATTCTGCGTCAAATGAAACTAACCGAGTCCATTACAAAGGAGCACAACAAATATCAACGGCTTTCTTATATTGATGAGGAAAATAAGAAAACCTGGGCATTAATCCGTGGTAATGAAGACGACGACGTACAAATGAACGAGAGTACCACAGAGAATAAAATGATGACACGATTGAAAACAAGTCAAAATGCCAATGAACCTAATCATTTTAAATTGGGTATGGAACATGGCTTTAAGAATTATGTAAATCAATACACATCAAATCCGATTGCATTGAATAAACCACAGCGCAATGAGGAACGTGACAAACGGCGCCATTTATCACATAAATTTTCACTGACCACAGCATCAGAGTTTAAATGGATTGGTGTTACTATGGGTAGTTTGGATAGTATTACACAAACATTGCGACAGACTTTATTAAATTTCGAGGAAAATGTACCTTTGTCATTTATGATACCAAATTGGAGACTCATAAAATGGAAGTGGCGTAGAACAGTATCAGATGCACGACGGCCTACAGAATTCGTAATAGTATTATTACTACTCCAAGCATCGTTTAAAAGTGTTATTTTTGCAAATGTTTGGCATGAGCAGCTTGGTCATCTTACATTATGTCGTATAACCTCGGCTGAACGTGAAGAACGCAAAAAACTGGAGAAACGTGAAAAACGTGAACGTGATGACGAAGAAGAGCGCAACCGACTTGCGTTCAACTATATCAAATACTCCTTAGGACTTAAGCATCAAGTGTGGAAGCAAAAAGGAGAAGAGTATCGCATACACGGCCAATGGGGTTGGATGTGGTTGTCAACGAGTCGTCGTTGTGGCGGTGGTGTTGGAGTTAGCAAAGCTCGTCGCGCTCCGCATCGTCATGGTTTGGCTATACCACCCGTTAAAGTAAATGTGCACTTCACAAAAGGTGACGATGTAGACGAAATCGTTAGTGTAGATCCGCGTACACATAAATTCATTTTGCAGTGCAATGCAGCAGTCAAGAAGGGTGCAGATTATTATTATTTACAAAAATTCAAGGATGTGCAAATAAAAGAACTTCCTGATGCTGGCACAGAGGGTGGTACCATTGATGTTTCGAAATCACTTACAATGCCCGGCCGACTTATGTATCGCAAAATTGCTCGTAAGAGTAGGCTTGATGACTTGTTAGCACGACGCGTGGAGCTAAAGCAAGCTGAGGAAGAACTGGCCGTAAAAATTGAGAAAGACGGAGAGGATACACAATCAGCCACACAATCTGATGATACTAAAGCAGAGGTTAAGAAAGTGGCCAAGAGAACATTCCTAGAACGACGTTTGATGGATATCCAATATGTACAGCAAAAAAATTTGCCCAACAAAGATGTTAATCTGGATTTAATTAATTCCTTAGCGAAGAAAATTCAAACTGTGCGTTTACAATTCAGCCAATTGAATAGATTCGCTAAACAATATCGTTGTTACACCAAAGAGTGTAACACGAATTCCAATGCTGTCTCGCAAATTACGCAAAACACTTGCTATTCACCACTTTGCCTACAGAAAGCACGCGCTAAAAAGGAATTATTGTTGTTGCTGCGCAAAGCACACATTGCTGGTAATGGTTCCAAGGAAACAGTTGCCGCTATTTTGGGTGCCGTAAAGAAGCCTTCAATACTGGAACAAAAATTAACCGAAGGTAAAAAGGATGCCTCACTACTGCTAGATGAGGCAGACGATTGCCGTTGGTTAATCGATGAAAATCCATTGGATTTAGTACAAGATTGGGAGCATGCACGCACTGTAGCGGTGCCATATGATGATAAGCTTTTGCGTGATTGTTACAAAACTAAGGAAGAGCAAAGTTCCAGTACGAATGTCGTAAAGGAGGAAAGTATGACAACCGGTGGTTCAAGCGATGGCGGTATGGAATTCATTGATAATATCGATGTGTGCAGTAATGTTGAGATTGAGAGTTCGGAGACAACAAATGATGATTCATTAGCAGCTTTAGCATCCAGTAGCGATGGATTGGGTATGGATTCTACACAAGCTAAAAAATTGAAGAAGCAACAAAAGTTGCGTAGCAATAAATCGTACAGCGCTACCAAAGATGCGCTCAATCAAACATATGAGAAGCAAGCAACTACTTCAAGCGTTAAACAAAATCGCCGATTTCCCACACAATCACGCATAACGAAACGCGAAGATGTTACGAAATACGAAAAGGAATACTATCCGAACGGAAAGGAGCGCTTATATGCTGCCGATTCGCCACGTGGACGCATTTACTTGTGGCGCGATCAAGCGATGTTAAAGGAACGTAAAAACATAAAATCAGAAGACGAAAAAAAACCAACGCCGGAACCATCTAAAAATGCACCGATCGGTTCACCATATCCTTTAATATCGCAATTCTTAACACACAAACTTAAGATGAGCATACTAGTATTGCCGCCATACGAATTAAAGAAATTGGCGCGCATGGGTGGCAAGACCAGCACAAACGGTTTCCATCATTTGGCGAAGAATAATTCTGTGTGGCCATATCCATGTTCACGACCGCTTTTCAAAACTTGTTGGTCCTTCCGCACCAGCAAAGCGACAACTCTCTCTTCAGTTGCACTGCAATTGCGCATACTCTGGTGTTGTTTACGTTGGGACGACATGATTGCCAAGCCACCATCGGCTGATGGTAAACATCAAGTAACAAGTGAAACCGAGATTGTGACACAGGAGCTATTAAAGTTCCGACACATGGGACGCTATGGCGAGCGGACGCAGTATTTACGACGCAAAGTTGTTGTGCCACTCGAAATGCCGAAGACTATACGCGGTAAGTTTAGAGTTATAACTTACAAGATTTATAAATGGCTGAAGTTACAGTTTTTTTTTTTTGTTTCTAAAATATTTGTACCACGAATTGTCTTTCTTTTTCGATTCAACAAACAAGTGTGTTGTAAATTTATATTGATTATCATTTTATATATATTTTTGTTTTTATTAAAACAGAGGTTACGTCAATCCGTTCTGGTCTGCGAAAACGGAAACGAGCCGAATCGCCACAGCCGACGGAACCACAAATAAGCGAGGAGTGGGTGGAAGAGGATAAACTAGAATTGTGGGAAATTAAACTGATGGGTGAGCGTCATGAGAAGAGCAAACAGACAACCATGACACGTTCTTTCGTCTTGCGACAAGCAGCCGAGCAAGCCGGTACATCGCCATCTTCCTCCTCTGCATCCAGTGCTGGTGGTTCTAATGGATCCACCACCAAAGTGGTAATAACCGCAAAGAGTAGTGAAGAAATCAAAGAGAAAATGGAACAGCAGTTGAATTTACAACGTGCTGCACATCTACAGAAGAAGAATCCAGAAAATACTAAAGTACAGGCGCAAGGTATGTTGCTTAGTAATGCCCATATCATTTACAATATTTAACATTGCTTTTATGCATACTACAGTGAAGGGTCAAATAATAGGCAGCCGTCGTGTTATCGTAAAGAATCCCGATGGTACAACACGCATAATACAGCAGGCAATTACAACGCCCACACAAAAGGTTAATAGTAGCGGTCAAACCATAACACAAAATTCAACTGGCTCTAGTACTAGTGGGCAATCGTCGCAATCCACCACCAATTCTGCACCACAACAGTCTAAAGTGCAAATCATACGCGGTCCCGATGGCAAAGTCAGCGTACGAGGCTTAAATCCCGGTCAACAGTTAATACAAATGCCTGACGGTAAACTGCACGTGCTGACGACAACAACATCACCAGGCACTGGCACACAGGGTAAGTGACTGTAAAACCAAATTTTAATATGTAAATTTTTAATTAAAAATAATATAAATTTTTTTCGTTCTTTGTAGTTACCAAAAAGCTACCAGTGAAACAGGTGACACCTAAAAATTCCCCAGGCGTAGTGAAGCAAATCACTGTTAAGCCTGTGCAAAAGACTGTTCCTGTTCAAAGCGCTCAAAAGGTATGTCGCATATAAAACTATATTCTACTCTTTAGAAAATTGCGTATTTTATTATTATTATTTTTTTTATACATTATCCAATTCTCCAAAAAAACTTAAGTAAATATAAATTTACAATAAAATTTGCACATTTCAGTCTGTTGTGACATCTGTAAGTACCCAACCCAAGCCAGTTACACCCAAGGCCGTTGCGCAGGTCATAAATCAACATGTCACTGTGAATCCGGCAACAACGGTGCAAAAGGTTGTTACCCAAACAATACCAAGTGCAAGCCAAGGCACCACAAACGCCACAAAAATCACTACAAATTCTCAAGGTATTCCACAATTTATTGTTCAGCCTGGTCAGAAGTTATTGATGGGACAAAATCAACAAGGCCAAAAGGTATTAATAACCACCGGCGGTCAACAGTTAACCCAACAGCCTGTTGTGTCCAATTTGCAAAGCATACAGCAGGCTCAACCACAGCAGCAACAACAACAACAGATTATTGTTAACCAATCGCCCACATCAGCAAACCCGACCAATAACACCTCGCCACAAGCTACACAAAAGGTGATACAACAAATAGTGAATACCAGCAATGTGCAACAACAAATTGTGATTGGTGGTCAGCGCATTATATTGAGTCCTGGCCAAACTATAGTCACTCAAAGGTCAGTGCCACAAAATCAAGCTGTACAAGTTGTACAGCAGCAGCCACAGCAACAGATTGTGCAATCAGCTGCAACACAATCCACACATCATCAACAAGTTATAGTGCAAACCACCAATCCACAGGCTGGTCTGACGCAAGTGCAACAGCCGCAGCAGCAGCAACAAACGCGAGTTGTTAAACAAATTGTGGTGCAGCAGCAACCACAACAACAACAAACACAGCAGCAGCAACATACAATACAAACAACAAATAATCATATAGTCGAGTCGAGCACACCGACCCAACAAGTTGTAAAGATCCAACAGCAACCACAGCAGCAACAAACAACAACTACGGCAGCACCGCAAACCACAAATCAACAACTCGTCGTACAAAATTCCACCTTAGCACAACAATTGGCACAAGGCAAATTACAGGTGGCCACCATAAATGGTCAACAAGTCATCATACGACCGTTGGGTAATAATCAAGCGCAAATTGTCGCACATATTAAGACGCAAAGCGATGGTAATGCACACATCATAACGAATAGTACTTTGGAGACGCCACAACCGTCGCCCGAAAAATCAGTTCCAGCTGTTGTGCATCAACAGGTGCAACCGAAAACACAACCACAACAGCAAATAATACAGCGAACTACGGTCACACAGCAAGCGCAACAGCAACAGCAACAAACAGCCTTTATGAGCCAAGAAAGTGTGCAACAGCAACAGTCGCAACAACAGACCACGGCTACACCAACCAAGACCATGACAATTGAGGAGAGTCTGCTGCAAGGTCAACCGCCGGGCACAGTGATCAAGTGTGTCACCGCGCAGGTCATACAAACCGAGCAAGGACCACGCATTGTGCTGCAGGGCTTGGTTGGCAATGATTTCACACAACAACAGTTGGCGCTTGTACAACAACAAGTGAAGCAACAGCTCTTGAAAGGTAAAGTTTAATATATACATTGGAAGTGTATCGGGCGTTTATGATAGTTTTGAGGAGATTCATTTGAAATTTTTTTATTTTCCTTTTTCTACTTCTATTCTAATATTTTTCGACACGTCCTTGGTGACGATTTCATTTTAGTTTTATAGTACTCGTAGGTTGGATCCTTTTATATTACCTTAATGTTGTGTTGTTGGAATGTTTAAGCTCGATTTTATCGCCCCCAAATGGTTTTATATAAATTAGGTTGTTTGTATTTTCTGGTTTTACAACAACAAAAAATAATATTACACTGCGAATTTGAAAATAATTTTTAGACTTATTTTTTCATATTTTCTATATTCTGATTTTTTATTATCACTAAACAAATTTCGTGTTTGTATACCGTATTTGCTTATTTTCTATATTCCATTTTATTGACACTAAATAAATTTCGTGTTTTTAGCGCAAGAATCCAGTGGAAAACAGGGCGTCTTAGGACCAACGAAAATTTACTTAGCAGTCCAACCACCTAACGCGGTTCTGAATTCACAACCGCCACCACTAACACCAGTACATCAATCTACACATCAACAAGTGAGTAGTTGTTGAACAAAGAAACGAAATAAAAACGCAAAGGGTTAAACAAAAAAAAAAAATAATACTATAAAAAATAAATAAAGAAATACTTTATTTAAGTGTAAAAGTTTTCACTTTATAATTTATACAACACATACAAATATTATCTTATAGTATATACACAGTGCAGACATTAGCCTTTTATTATTTATTACAACATATGTTATATTAATTTAAATATATACAGTTACTATGTGCTTATATGGCTTATGCATATATTGTTTATAAACAATATCACAACTAAATCGAAAACGATCGACTTCATACATAATCACACATACATACGTTTATATGCTAAATATTATAAAAAAAACACAATTTTTAAATTACAATAATACAATAGCTACTTAATTTACACACAAACAAAAGTGCAGTACTGTTATGAGTTTTTTTTAAGACGTGCAAAAGCGGTTGCGAAATTCTGCTTAAGGATATTTACATTCCATAAATACGCAAATGCAAACATGTAATACAAAAACAAAAAGCAAAACAAAACTTCAGCGCGTTGGTTGTCTGTTTGTGCTGATTTGAACTTTTGATGACAATGGGTTTTAAGTAATTTTGCAATTTTATATAATTTAATCTATACTATGTGTTATTCCAATGCATTTTACACAACCAACAAGCAGGCTAAATATTAAAAGCAAGTAAAAGTTAATCATACTCATTTCCAAATATCCGTTGTATATTGAAGAAACTAAGTAATTTTGTGCAGATCTTTCGTTTTCGCGTATATTCCTTCGGGTGTTTACTACTTACCAATGCCTTTAATTATGTTCCACAAAGTATTATGACATTATAGCCAAACATACTGCATGTTTCCTTATCTGCCAATGTAATGGCTGGCCTTTGGTTTGTGTTTATTTTTAAGGTGAATATTTTTAAAGGATTACATGCATATATGCATATGTATGTGTTAATATATTGTTAAATACACATTGCACCAACACTCAAACGAACATGTTTACTCTAGAACTACAATTACGCCCAACACCTATAATTATAAATACATATATTATTTTTCTTGTATTATTTCGATTGCTAATTACATTAAAATTATTATTATTAATTATCATTACTTTTAATTTTAAGTCTTAAAGTATCAAATCGTTTTGTAATGTAAAGCGCTTTTTGCAATAAATTGACTTAATGATACCGAAAATTGTTTTAATTGTAATTTTCACATATTTTGGTTTTCTTAGTAATTAAAAAAAAATAAATAAATCAATAAAAAAACAACAAAAAAGCAAATCCACTTTATAATTAAAGTGTAGATTAAAAAATAAACAAAAGCGAAAATATGAAATTTAACTAATAATAATGCTAATAAAAATTTTGTAAATATTAAAGAAGCAACAAAAAAAGAAAATATTGATGTTTTGTTATTTCGAAGCAAAATTTAAGAAATACAGTATTTAGTGTCGCACACTCACATTACTGTACACATCTTGTTTGTTGTATCTGAGTTAAAGTAAATGAATAAAACATTTGCATTGTAAATTGTAATTAAGTAAACGCAAATAAATAAGCAAAAAAAAAACTCATATTCGGATTAGTTGGATGATTATTTGTAATTGGCCTTTGTGTTGACAAAAAGCGCTCGCTAAAATTGTAAACAAAGTTACAAAAAAAGTAATAAGAAATTGTTATTAAATTGTAAAAATGCAATCAAGTCATGCAGCATAGAAATTAAAAACAAAAAATTTTTAAATCGGCGTTTTATAAACACATTGAATTTCAAATCAAAATTTCTAATGTGGCCATTCATGAAATCTTTAAAAGAAGTAAGCAAAAATTGAAGAGATTAACCCAAACATGACGGCAAAAAGCAGTCACAAAATGCAACAAAAAATAATTTTACATTAAAGAGTATAATTATTAAAAAAAAAAGAAAGCAAAAACAAAAAATACTTGCACGACAAGTAAAGCTTTATATATATATAAATATATTTAAAAAAAGAAGCAACTAAAACACAAAGGCTTATCCATAAATTAATCATCTCATCTAATCAAAAGTTATACGCAAATTTTTACGTTCACAGCGTTTTCATTTGCGCATTTACAGCAAAATGTTTAGCATAAAAAAAAATAACTCCGTTTGTTTTCTCTCAAATACAACGCAACAATTAACAATTACTCAAATAATTCAAATGCATACTAAAAGTGCAAAAGAGTAACCAAAAAAAAAAAAGTTAAAACCTCCCAAACAAATGCTGCTTTTTCAAGTCATGTCTGTTAATCTCTTCGAAAATCTCTTAAAGGTTTCCTGGAATAAGTACTACAACTGATCTTTTACGAACACAAGGTAGGTGTGTGGCTGCAATATTTACAACAACATATGCTACCTTATATCGTGTATGCATGTATGTATATACATATTTCAATTTGCATTTTTACAATATTGTTTATAGATAATAGTATTAAGTTTATTTATTATTTATGTCGCAAATTTATTTACTTTTTTTTTTTTGCACACAACTGTATTTTTTTTCTTAATTTCTCAATTGCCCAAGAGAACATTTGAAATCTTTGATTTTTCACACAATTTTAGCTTTACACACTTAAAATGATACTTAATTAATCACTTTTTACAACTATACATAACGCTTGTTTGTACAGAAGTGGTTGTCAACGCCGTTGCCGTTGTATATGCAGTTACAACTGCGTTGTTGTAACACTGTAAAACATGCTCCTATTAGTTCTGGTTATTGCTTTTGAGCATAAAGCCGTTTCGTTCGGAAAAATACTTTTCATTAAATTTGTTTTTAATGGTAAAAACTAAGCAATCGAGGTTGGACCAATTTAATTAAAATTTTTTTTTTTAATTTAATAATTCAGTTATTTTATTTGTTTAATAATTTTTATTGATTATTTTTTATAATTTTTTTTATTTTAATTTTATTTATTCCTTTTTTTATTATTATTTAAATTATTATTTTTTTAATTTTATTTATTCCTTTTTTTATATTATTATTTAAATTATTTTTTCTTTTTACCTTAATTGTTTTTATTTTTAATATTTTTGTGATTTTTTTTTGTAATTATGGGCAACTTTTTTTTTATTATTCTTTACTATTTTTACTTCTTAATCCAACATTGAGCTAATACGTATTTACCACAAACAAGCATTATAGTTATAAAGTTGCAATCCCTTCCTTGCAGTTAAAATCCCTTCAAAGAAAGAAATAAATAAACAAAAAGTTGTGCGCACTATAAAACTCTCGAATCTTCTATTATTTCTTCCTTTAATTTTTTTTTAAATTTCTGCTTTCATTTAATATCGAATTCATTTTAATGTAGCTAGTAAAAGTATTTAAATTGAAATGATTAACGCCATATATAAATGAATGATTTATCGCTTTGCAGGCATCCTTCCTAGCTAAGGCAACGGTGACTGAACAAAGTAGCAGTAACGTTGAACTTATTGCCAATAAAATCGATGCAACAAAAAACCAAGATAAACCAGATTCAACCATACTACAAGACAATCAAATTCAACATACATCACAAGGGAATAACACAATAAATATTAGTTCAAGTGCAGGCACTGGATCCCAAGATTTGATTGTAACTTCACCAGGATTTTTACAAATCTGTAAGTGCTTTGATCAATTCAAATATACAAATTACTTAAAATAACTTTTTTATGTGTTAAGTCGCAAACAAAGAATATAGGAAAGAAAGGTTTTCCAATTTAGCGTGAAGTGCAATCGATACGATTAAGTTCTGAATATAACATCATTCTTTTGCAGAAACGAATTCGATAAACCCAATTTTCGAGTATTTTCAACTAAATCAAGTCGTATGTTATGAATAGCACGTTCAATATTGACTTCTAAAGCTTTTTTTATTGCGTAAGACCAATCACTTCAAATAACCCCACAAGAAGTATCAATGGTGTTAAATCACAAGTTCTTGTAAGCCATTCAATGTCACCATATCTTGAAATCATCGAATCTCCAAAATTTTTGTCGCAATAATTCGGTTGTTGCACGTACTGTGTAGCACGTAGCCCCGTCTTGTTGGAACCAGATGTTGTCAAGATCAACTTCTTCCAATTGGGGCCATAAAAAGTTGGTTATAATCGATCTATACCGCTCTCCATTGACAGTAACGGTGCTGCCAGCTTCATTACGAAAGACCAAAAACCACACCAAACTGTCAATTTAAGTGAATGAAATGGTTGTTCATGTATAATTTGTGGATTTTCTTCACACCATAATCGACAGTTTTGTTCATTTACCGCACCACCCTGATAAAAGTGAGCGCATAAAAAGTTGCAAAATTGAACAATTTGTAAACATTGCCCTTGCGTATATCTTTCCATGATGAAATTGTAAACATTACTGAATACAATGAAAAAAAATTACAGATCATGACATACTAAAAATTGCCGAAACGACACTTAGAAATCATATCATCCCTATTAGAAAACCCGATATATGTATATACTACATAATATAAAAAAAAAAATCACCTACACTAAGGTTTTGTCCGAAATTTTATTATTTCCCAGATAGATGGACAGTTAGATCTCGTAAAATCTAAGAAAAATTAACTAACTAAAATAATGTCTCAATCGCTTCATCGTTAAAAAAAAAATAATAATAATAAACAACTTTAGGATCTTCTAAGTAGTTTTTATCTTATTGGTCCTATTGGTTGGAATATTCAAACTTCGGCAACCATCAATACAAGTCTAATCAGTCCCGTAATGCGGACTCGACATTAAAATATCTAAGATATATTATATATTGTGGACGCCAAGAATTTGTTAAATAATCTATAATCAAAATTGACCCGGACAGCCAAAAACAATCTAAATGTTTACGTATTTTAATGTTCAAATGCGCACTTTTTAGCAGTTTCATGCAAGAGCATCAGCCAGAATAGAATCAGCAGTGCAAACTGTGCAGTGTTGCCAGTAAAATTTATAAAAATCTGTGTTTTTAATTATGGAAAGTCTAAATGGGTCGTGTTTAAACGGTTTATGTATTTTTAGATAAGACATTTATTTTTCCTTCAATACTTTGTAGTTAAACCATTATTGTCGATTACCGCTTGACATCTGCGGGTCATTGACTCCACTAATTGTTGGCAGATTTCCTGTGGAATCTCTTACTGTTCCTTTTGGGTAATTTCGTATAAATACTGCAAATTTAAGATCGTACCTTTTTTTTCAAGTGAGACCAAAGATTCTCAATAGGGTTTAGATCTGGACTACAAGAAGGCCAGTCTAAAACAGTCACCAAATTGTCCTGAAACCACTGCTTAGTGCGTCGAGCTGTGTGTGTCGGATCGTTATCCTGTTGGTACATCCATATTACGGCTATGTTAGCGTCGGCAAATGGCAGCATGACGTCGTTCATAATCTCTATGTACTTAAATCGGTCTATTTGAACATCAATTTTAAATATAGGCTCGACGCTCTGACTTCGTTGGCAGTTTTATGCGGATCCTTTCGTGTTTCGCGAACAATCAGTTCGTCTTCTCTTGTTATCGTTTTACCCGCTCTCCTCCTGCGTGGAACGTGTTTTGTGGTCTTATTTTTGTTATAACACTGGATTGCAATAAACGCCATCCTTTTCAAAGTGTTGAGCGACTTGGCGATTACACCGTATGACTTACCATTATCTCGGAAGTGGATGATAATGTCCCTAGTGTCCTCACCTAAGATTTATTTTTACCCAAAATTTTTTTTTACCAAAATTGTTAAATTTAGTTATTTCAATTAGTTGCTAATTAGGCGCACGACCGCTTTTATCACATTTCAATAAAAATTCAATTTTTCGGAATAGAAGATTTTTAATAATAATTTTTGATAGGTTTCGAGAGATATACCATAATTTTATGTAAAGGAAACTAATAACTAATAAAAATAACTATTATTCTCTCAATATTTTACACACAGGTGCAAAATATTTAAGGTGGCATGTCGTTCCTAATTAGTTGCACGCATCTGTATATACTCGAAGTCATTAACAGTAATTTTTCAAAAGATTCAGGTCTTTCGATACGAGTCTAGCATTGACAAACTTCATGCCCAAAGAAACCAAAATGTGTTGAGTCGATCCAAAAGAGTTAATGTGATATTCTGATATCTTTTTGATGCCAACACGCCGACTTTTAAGCACTTTCTTCTTTAACTTTTTAAATGTTATCGTCATTAACAGAGGTGGATAGACAACTCGCATGAGGCAAGTTGTCGATGAATGCTTTGTGCCACCTATATACTTGTGTTCGTGATTATACAAAATTTAAAGGAAACTCGTTCACTTTTTTCTCGGTTAAAATCGCCAGAGAAACTTATCGCGTCGCAAACAAACACCAATTGCCTTATGGGCGTCAAACTTCGCGCAAACATTAAAAATGTTGGACCGTTTTAAATAGAGCAATCCAAGTCAAATTTAATCAGATTGTAAGTGTAACACATGTATAATTTATTAAAATTGGTCTCTTAAAAATACAATTTGTGTTAAATATTAATTAGAATGAAACACTAAATACTGCAAGACTGCCGTAAAAAGAAATATATCAACTTATTAAACCATGATTTATTGCTATGTGATTTACTTGTCATTTAACAAAATGTCATTGGTACATATGTATACACGTACATACATATGTATATGTTATAAATACTTCAACATTTGTATTTAAAAATAATTTTTCAAAATGTGAATTTGTAACTACGTTTACACTCATTCACAGTACTTATAAACATATCTTAAATATGTATATTTTCATCATATTTAACACGGTAATACATATTTTGTATTGAAAAATACATATACACACACTTTGAAAAAATTTTCTTTAAACATTTTTAATATTTGTTTACTCCAAAAGCCAACAATAAAAATATACTCACTAAAGGCAACTCTAATACAAATATTGCACAAGACGAGCAACGACAACAGCAACAGCAAGATAAATCAACAATTGTCAGCACACCGGTCAGTAGTGTTTCGAGTAGAAAGCGACACCTTTACAAAACTAAAAATGAAAACGGTGATTGGAATCAGCACCAACAGCAGCAGCGTACACCGAAAAAGTCAAATACAAACACAATAAACGATCAGAACGTCATCACAGCATATTCAACAAACAATACGCTCAAGGATAGCAGCGCTAAGCGTAACGAATTATTGCTGCTCGATGATAATGAACAACTAAATCAAGCATTAAATGTAAGTTTCTTGCGTGTGGTATATTATTACCATCTTCGATATGTGCTTAACATAAATATTACACATTCGCGATGCGTTAAGTTAGCACAACACAAACTGTATACATTTAGCAATCAATACGAAGTGATTTACATTAAAAAATTGATATTGATAATTATTTTTTTAGCAATCATAGCACGTGCAGCGCATTCGTATTGATTATCAAAGCTCAAAAATATTTTGTGTCTTATTATTTCGTTTTTTTTTTGCAGCACACGCTGGAGCGTCATAAAGACCTTTTGAAGAAGAGCATATTGAAAAAGCGTTCGCTCTTGGAGCGTAATTTGCAACACGAAATCAAGGAAGAAATGAATAGTGAGCTACTAAGTTCCTCAGAAAAAGTTGAAACAAATAAGAAATTCTGTAACACGCCGAGTGGTGGCGCTACTGCTGGCGGCTTAACGACAAATGAAATAAAAAAGTAAGTACATAATATACAGTTTTGCTTTTGATATTTGAAAATTATTTTTACGTCTTTATAAAGCCGTTGTTATTTTGTGCACACAACGGTTGTTTGCAAAGATAAACGAATATGGTAAAAATATACAAGTATTTTGTTATTATAATTGCGTTAAATTGTGCAGAATATGTTCTAGATATTAAAATATTCTAATATAACTCGGTTTATAGTAGGAAAATGTGCAAAACTACGGGCATTGCCAAAAACATCTAGTACATTAGTGTGTGATTTACAGCCGAATGCTAGTTAGGTTTGATTCCCAATTAGTTTCGGTTAAATCCCGAATTAAAAAAAGTCTAAATTTGGTAAATGATATAGGTATCCGTGCAGTTTTAATATGATGAAAGGTGTTTTTTATTTAATCCAGCATGCGTTTATAGCTGCTATAATGAGCCTGTAGTAATCGGAACGGACCCTGAGTTATTCCGGACAAGGACTGTCAACTCGGCAGAATTCTGCCGCTACAACAACAACCGCCTGTAGTATTGACTGTCACCGTTTTAACAAAACTAGCGAATAGAGTAGCTAATATCTAGCAAAAAACTACAATAAATCAAGAATACTAACATAAACAAATAGAGGTTATTATTTGTAAAAGAAAATGACAATGATAAGAATCAAGAGGTTATAACTGTATCGTTTTTTGAATTCTTCTTCTGCATATGTTAAGTATATATATGTAAGTTTAAAATACGGTGTTGATAGTGTGAAATTCTAACTAAAACTAATTAACATAAAATTTTGTCTAAACACAGACTTTAGACAATTCATATTCTAATATTAATTTAGATATAGCCTTTAAATAGTGAACAATAAAATACTAATTTCGTCGTATGAAGTATGAAAAGTCTATCTTCGCTAAATTCACATAGTAAATTGTGTATATATGCAGTTGACATTGTGATTTTATGGATTAACATGATTATTTATGCACATAGGTACAAATCAATATATTTTAATATTCAGGAGTGTTGTGAAATCCAAGAATCTAATTGGATTTTCATATTGTCGAACATATGCAAAACCAATATTCGAAACAGCTGTTTACTATTGACAAGTACTTGCAAAAGAATAAATTTGGAAGCGTTTGATAAATTTGAAATACCGAATAAAGTCTACTAGTTTAGCTTTCCTTTTTTTTTGGAAGAAAATAAACAACGAAAAAATTAAAGGGAAGATATTAAAAGATTGCAGTAATCCACTTGATGCACCAGGGGAGTCGCGTGAGAAATTCGGCTTGCATTTACTTGTATGTTTGTATACATGCTTACTTAACAGATTTATATCACATTATCGACTGAATAAAAACGCATTTGGGTGTTAAACTATGTTTTTTTACGTTTTGTAAATCCTCTTAAAATATCTTGATTTTTTCCATAAACTCGATAATTATGACATTTTGTCTTTTATACTTATGTTTTCCTATAGAAATAACGATAAATTAAATCATAACAATAATATAAATTATTTTCTTAAATTACATTTCAAATCTGTCAGCCAATATCCTCTTGCTTTGTTTCTGATAACAAAACCGATAAAATTGGTTTTCGTTTCATCCAAAACCGATACAATTTCTGTTTGGAACTTCAAAATTTATGACATCGGTTTCAATTCTGATTCCGACAACTATCAGATTCTACAACACCCCTGATTGTCATACAAAAATCATTGTAGATGAAGTTACTGTTATACGTTTTTTTGCTACAGAAGATACTACTATAATATATCTCAACCAATCCATCAGTTTGTATGGCAGCTATGTAAAAATATCCTATAGTGGTGCGATATGCGCGGATCCGCTAAATAAACAGCTTCTTAGTAAGAAAAGGATGGTTGCAAAATTTCTGATTGATATCTCAAAAACTGAAGGACAGCTTTTAAAAATATGTTTTTTACTTTTTCACTTTTCAATAAACACACTTCAATCCTTAATTGATGAAAATTTTAAAGTGGCAAGACTTTTCAATGTTACTACGTGACTATATAACTGAATTATATCGACAGCCCCGATAGATAAAACTTAGGTCAAGAATATTGTTCTGTCAAGGCGAATTCACTCAAAGTAACAACAGCAGAACAGCTGATTTTATTACCACACCATAATTACTATTTGTTTCAGGACTTTAAATGCAAATATGGAAAAATGCATGATGTGTTTGTTTTGTATACTTTGTGACTCTTGCTGTCGTTGTACAAATAAATTGCTCTTATAGTTATGTATATGTTTGCGTTGTATAAATTTATATAGTTTAGTAACGAGATGCCTGCCTTTTAAAAAAATGTATACAACTGTATTTAATATAAATAAACTTTAATTTATTATTAAAGACCAACGAGACAATTGAAGAATCATCCCAACACTCCCCAATCACCAGCTCTGACACCGTCCAAAAGTCTGCACGGACGTTCACAAAAGAAAGTCAACAAAAAGAAAGAAAAATTGTATTGCATTTGCCGTACACCATACGACGATACAAAGTAAGTTCCGTCTTTTTTGAAATCAATGCGAATTAATATCATTGTTATTATTTAATTACTTGTTTTGCTTTCGGAAGGTTTTACGTTGGCTGTGATTTGTGCAGTAACTGGTTCCACGGTGATTGCGTAAACATTACAGAAGAAGCATCGAAAAAACTCTCCGAATTCATTTGTGAGGACTGCAAACGTGCACGCGAAACCCAAGAACTATATTGTTCGTGCCGCCAACCATACGATGAATCGCAATTCTATATATGTTGTGATAAATGCCAAGATTGGTTCCATGGCCGTTGTGTGGGCATTGTGCAAAGCGAGGCCGAATTTATCGATGAATATATATGTCCACAGTGTCAGCGCAACAATTCTGTTAATTTGGCGAATATGAAGAATTTAGCCGAAAATGAGACAATCGAATTGAAGAAGCTCATCAAGCAAATTCAGGTAAATACGAAGTGCATATATTGTATTGTATATGTACATACTTTTTATATGTGTGTGGATGCATATTGTAAACAAATTATGTAATAATTTACTGTTTTGTCCTATTTATTTATATTTTCAGGCACACAAGAGTGCATGGCCTTTTATGGAGCCGGTTGATCCAGAAGAAGCACCAGACTACTACAAAGTCATAAAAGAACCCATGGGTGTGTATAACTAACGCATTTTAATAAATTATTTGACAATTTAATAAGAACGATTTAAACTTTTTTCCTTAATAGATTTACAGAAAATTGAAAATAAACTAAATACAAATGTGTACACAAAATTATCGGAATTTATTGGTGATATGACAAAGATATTCGACAACTGCCGCTATTACAATCCGAAAGATTCGTCATTTTACAAATGCGCCGAAACATTGGAAGCATTTTTTGTGCAAAAAATTAAAAATTTCCGGGAAACTGTGGTTAGTCAAAACTAAATCATATATTTAAAATAAAATACATATACAAAAACAAACAAACAGAGAATAAAAAATACGCTGTAATAATCGCCGCATCAAGCGTTAATGTGCCGGAGCATATATTGTAAATAGTTATAATTGTTGCATAATTTATGTAAGTAAGTACATATGTATTATGCACATTTTCATTAGAAGAGCACAGTTAGTTTTAACGCATAGACTTAAGAAGTGTTTTCATTTAATAACATTTAACAACAACAACAAAGGAACTTATAAAGTAAAACTAACATTGTGTAAAGATCATATGAAATGATTTACTCTTGTACATAAATAATTGGTCAATGCATTTAGCTGCGATAGTATTAAGAGCAAAATACACATACATTGTATTGTATGCTTTTTTCTTTTTTAATTTGAAAACGTATTAATAAATACTAAAAAAACACATATTTAGCGATTTCATTCAATTGAGAATTATTCTTGTATTTTAGGCTGCGAAATTGTAGTATAAATATAATATAATTAATAAGGAAAGATTTAAGTTAAGTGGTGTATGTAAATGCAGCTATAAAATTGCTCGAGCGTTCTCATTGAATTACTTTGCAAACTATATGCTTTAGTACATTTTTTCAAAATAGAATAACCTAAAGGAAATATAGCCTCCATAACTTTGCGATTTTTACCATTATGAGGCAAGTATAAATTCAAATTAGAGAGAAAAAAATATTAGCAATATAAGTGCAGTATTCAGTAAAAGTGGAAAAAGAGCAAAAAAAAATTCAGATCTCATAGACTCATTTATTTAAGCTTTTTGAAGAAGCTTAAGCTTTTTACTTCGATTGAGCTGCAATTTCAATTTTTTTCTTTGGCCAATGCAAATAATTATATTCCAGTCTGTAAGATGTTCCTCCCTCCTATTTCTGAAACTCTTTTGGGACGAATATGCAAAATAGAAAAAATTAACATAAAGAATGTTTGTCTTGTTATTTCAAAACGACGAAAGTGATATTAATTTACAGGCATCGCATAGGACTTCTTTACAGAAGACGATTAAGAGAGAGACTTGGTAACAAACAGTTTTCGCTCGCACAACAACAACAACGCTTATCCACTTTTCAAGATGCCGCGGCCGCTACTTAAAACCGTTCTGATCCGTAATTTTCTTTAATTTTTTATATCTAAAATACCGCGATGGTTAGAAAAAAAAATTAAAATGTATATGTATATCACGGTTACCAAGTGGCAAATTAAAATAAGGAAGCAAAACAAATGTAAACAAAGATAAATTTTAACTTCGGTTGCTATAATACTCTTCACAAAAAAAATGTGTTCCATACAAGAACTTGATTTTGATCGGTCAGTTTGTATAGCAGCTATATGCAACAGTGGTCCGATCTGAAAAATTTACTCGGAGGTCATAGCGTTGTCTTGGATAAAATTCTATGCCGAATTTCTTGAACATATCTTGTCAAATAAAAATTTGTTTCATACAACTTGATGTTCATCGCTTATATTGCATAGCAGCTATAATATATGCTATTTTGGTCCGATATAGAACTTTGTTTATTATTTTGACACCCGGAGCGTTCGTATTCATTAGGACGACTTATTCTAACTATATATATAACGTCCTATGGTTTGCAACCCTCGAAATAGCTCGCTTCTTGAAGCTACCGAGAGTTGATTTCGATAACTACTGACTTACTAAATAGGGTTGTATAAAACAATTATAACAACAACAACAATGTCCTTACATAATACTCAGCCAGCAAGGAAAGTGGAGAAAAGGTTTGTTGTAAGCACTTTGTTATACTTCAAGATTAGTTTCATATTGTAAGATCGATCAATATCCATTATATGTTATAAACAGTATGGTCATTTTGTGATTTCCGAATGCCTTAAACTTCGACTTATTGAGGTTTCACTTCACTTTAAGTAACCAAGCAACAAAGCGAACCGTTTATTTTGTTTCAAATAACAAATTTATTGACGTACCCTAACAACGTCTTCGAAACGTTAAATTTCCTTTGCTTTGGCAACAAATTAATGGAAAGTATTCAAATCAAGCCTTCAAAGAGTGAGTCCGTGTCAACGCATTATATTTTGTAGAAATCTTTTGATATCTATTGAGCTAGCAAACATTTGCTTTTTTTCATAACCCATCATATTTACACTGGCGAGGTAAACTATTTGAACCAAAACAAAAAAATTCAGCAGATTCACTATGTCGCTTGTCTATATAACGCGTCACTATGAGAATATCAAAAACATCGAAAGCACTGCGGATTATTATCAATTTATAAAAGGCAGCTCCTCGATGAGACCTAGACAGCCCGTTAGAAAAAAGGACAAGTCTAAAGCTGTTCTAAAATTGCCGGATGGTAAGAGGTTACTGACCGATTCTAAGAAGAGTGAGCGCAAAACAATGGGCTATAGTGAGACACCGCTACGTGAACCGTGTGAATTTCTGCGCAAAAATGGCGGCGTCAAATGGCAAAGAAAACGCGATCATACTTGTCCCAAACGTGATGAGCCTGTACTGCCAGTGCCACGCTTGGAAGATCTGAAGAAAGAGAAGCATGACAAGGAGAAGAAAAAAGTAAACTTTATAAAAAAGAACGCGCAATGCATTAAAAATGCGCCAGCGAAGTGGCATCCACCAAAGTATATTGACTTCCATACCGGCACGCCACGTAACTTGAAAAATTCCGGACTTGTTCCGCAATATGTTTGTTCAGAAGCGTATGGTAAAGTGCCTTGTTACTTGCGTTTGCATAAGAAGCTAGTTTCGAATAAGCCCGAAATATGTAAGATCGAACAAGTGCAGCTGGCAGAGCGTTGCAAGTTCAGGGATGCCAGTATTCGTCAATTACCATTGGAGGAGAGGGATAACATTCTAAAGGTTCGAAATATAAATATGATTCTGTGTCTTGAACATTTTCTATTCAAATACATTTATGTTATTTACAGGGTCTCAAACAGCATTTTAATGACGTCTTCAAAGCTTACCAAGCAGGTTCCTTGTTAATTGACACAATTTCAAAGCGTTTAAGAAAATCGAATTTAGAAAAGGAATTACGGCAATTGGAACATGACATTTTTCTTCTAGAATCTAATCCGATCATATATGTATCTGAGTATTAATCGTCAATAAAATGCGTCAACTGTTCAAATTCTGCAAAGGCATATGTTTTATTATTGAAAGAATTGGCTTAATTGACGATATGATATGCTCAACGAATCGGTTAACGCGAAATAACACTGAAATTTATTTATTCAGTTATGAACTGTCTTATGTTTTATGGTACTACAAAAACAAAATAATTTTAAGAGTTACATCCTAAAATATAACGATATTCGATCCTTTTATACCGTGAACAGGCCATATTAAATCTGCCACGAAATTGTAACACTTAATAAAATATATAATATAAGGGATCAGCGTGATAAGCTAAGTCGATTTAGTAGTGTCCGTCTGTCTGTCTGTATATACTTGTTACTTGTTACCTCAGTTTTTGAGATATCTATATCGAAATATTGCACGTGTCCTTTTCTCCCCAAGAATCTGCATAATTGTCGGTACCGATATCGGGCCACTATAGCTCATAGCTGTCATACAAACTGAACGATCAAAACCAAGTCTTTGTATGGAAAACCCTTTTTTATTTTACAAATTATCTTCACGAAATTTGGTATGGACTATTGTTCAAAGCAACACGATAACCTTCGAACAAACAGTTCAGATTTAACGACTATAGCATGACTTTTCAAAATCAAACAACTTCAGCATTAATTCAGTTTCTTTGAATGGTGGTGAAAACAAACCACCACCTAACATAGACACAGAGCTCAGGTGGCCTCACAAGAGCTAAGTAACCACAAATTTACTATGGTTACAGGTTACTCAGCTAAATATGATGAACCATACCTAAAAATAATGCTCTAACCAACTACATATTTGCATTGGAGGAATTCTACAGAGTTGATAATCTCTAGCAGGATAAAAATCATGTTCCGTTCCGCTCACGTAGACCCGACTGTCGTGGGAACGGACACTAACCACTAGAGTGTAGATATAACATTACAAAAAAAAATATTTAAAATTAAATTTGAATATATTTGCAGAATAAGTCAGGGGCCTTAACAATTTCGTTCGAAGTGCAATGTACATGTCTATTCTACAGTTTACAGCAAGGTTATTAATAATATTAATTATTCGACCTCGTAAACAAATGTGTTTGTTTGAACTGAGTAGTAATAGTTCAACAGCTCTAGTTTCTTCCAACAACAACAGCTACAGTTCACATGACGATAGAATCTAGTTAACAAACACGAACACAACAACAACAACGAATACAATAATGTTGCAGCTTGACACCCAATTGAACTTCTAAAGCTATGTGGTGCAAGACCTGCAGTTGCAAGGCAATGACTCATATTTTTAAAATTCGCTGATGGCAGCATAAGTCCATTTTTGTTTTTGTGTATACTTGTATATTTGCATATAAAATATATAATATTTAACACTTTAGTAGTACGCTCAAATTAGGTAATATTCACAATATATAAAATACTATATGAAACAAATACAATTGATTGAGTCGTACAAGAACAAAAGTACCCAAGTTGTAAATGCATGTATGAAATTAAATTGCTATACATAATTCTACATCAAAAGATTGCACTATTGAATATTTTGAATACATGCACATAATCACATTTTCGTTACAATTCTCAATAATTTCGTTTTTATATAGGTATGTATGTATCTATATAAAAAATATTAAACTCATCGTTATGCATAGGAAATTTATTAATGCTTATGATTTATCTGTTAGTAGTGCCATAATTATTTATTTTAGTTTTCATTCGCCACATAAAATAGCACAAACATTTGACGCTTTGCAGCTTGGGCACTGACGTTTTGGCCGAAGCAATTAGAATTTGATGAAGATATGAAACTTGTTTTGGATATTCTGTTGTGCTGTGCTGCTTCTTTATTGTTTCTATTGTCGTGACCTCACACTCACACACAACTATACACTAAAGCAGTGGTATAAAAGCGGCCATGGCTTAGGGATCAATGTTTGTAATTAGCGAATTTATTCAAACTGGCGATAAGCTTCTTGTAGCCTATTAACCACATTTGAATAGAACTTAATTTGCTCTTCTATAAATGATTTAAGCGCCTGTTTCATATGTGTATCACGTTCTTCTTTAAAATGCGACATTTCAGCCATTACAGCATAGGAAATAACATCGGTGCGACGATTCACATCGGTCATTTGTGCATTGCTCATCTTTTGCTCAGAGGTTAAACGTTCGCATTCTTTGCGTTTTTGCATTGCACCCTTGTGTGTTGAAAGAATGTCGGGAAAACTGTTGAGGACGCCTCTGAAATAAAAAATACATAGAAAATTAAGCCCTTAGGTAAGCCATATGCAAATGTATATGCACGTATGTATGTATATATTTTTAAGTAACAAACGAGATTGATAAGTGAGTTAGAAAGTGGCAAAGATAAGTAACATACAAACACATATGACACTAGATAAGCTTTTAATTGCAAACACGATAACAGTAGAGTAATTACTCTTATATCAGTCAAAAGATACTGAAATATATGTAGTATCTCCAAGCTAGGCACAAGGTGCATATGTAACTAAACAGAGGCTAACTTTCGTGTTGTATTACCTGTAGATATGCAAACGGTCCGAAAATGGTATCCAGTCCAATTTAGGCTGGTCACCAAATAGCTGCCCAATACCGATGAAAATACCACCAACTCGACCAACACTTTCCGATAGCGGTGTTGTTTTTGAGGGTGCACGACGCTCGTCTATATTTAAGGCCTTTGCCAAGTCCGACATGCCATCACCAATACGTTGGAATTCTTTTTTACATTGTGTTTGATAACGTTTCGCCGTGTCATTGGATAATGCTAAGAGATTTCGTACCGAAATATCCATTGCATGCGTGAATTGTGAACAACTTTCCATTTGAGCATCTACAAGCGATGGCAACAATGTCTTTTCCGGCGGTGATATGGCCCAACAATAAGATACTCCCACATATGTGTCACGTTCGGCTTTCCTTTTGCCTGATTTCCACATCTTGTCATCGTTGCAGGTCAAGAAATGATGCCACACTTCGCATTGTGATAGTACCGGATGACGACAAACCCAATCAACAAATTCTTGCAATTGAACCCGTCGATGCTCCACAAATTGTTCTTCGTAACGTCCGGAAATTTGCTTATCGGGCAACGGTGGTATGGGAATGAGGCAAAATTTCTCCACCAAACGTTCGTGTAACCAATCAAAATGCTTGTATCTTCTTGATACCTGCAAAAGAATTATGTTGAAATTACATTTGACGTATGATAAAATAATTGCATAAGTATTTGAAATTTATAAGAAAACAAACACAGCTGTGAACAAAACTTACAGATATATTGTTAAAGCTCGGTGTCAGCTGGTAGGCAATAAAAGTCTTCATTCCTTTAAATTTTGACTCTTTTTTCGGACTGGCCACTATTACAGTGTAACGTTGATGGTTGGTTTGCCAATAACAAAAATTTTCCACATATGCAATATGCACAATTTCATGTTCAGAAAGCTTTTCCTTATTTCCCAATCCCAATATATATGAATCCGAACTTTTACCGAACATACCAGACTTTTTTAAAGTTGCTGTGTTGTTCGGCGCAGCTGTAGATGCTAATGAGATAGTGTCGTCCATTGGTGCGGCTGGCAGATTTTTATTATCATAACTGCTAGCGGAATGTGTGAGTGCATTACCGTGTCCTGCGTGATTACTTGTTTTTGCCCCACCACTGGGACCTATTTCCGAATACGTTTCGTTGTCATCATCCCAATCATCTTCCCAGTCGTCATATTCATCAGCAGTTTGATCATATCGATTCGATGCGTCAGTTGTGGTCGCAGCAGGCACTGCTACAGGGCTACTAGCACTAGTTTGGGGATTGTGTTTCTGCGCTTCTGCGGCCGACATCACCTCCACATATGCCGCTGGAAAAAGACCAACCTTTCCTTCACCATTCTTCCCCTCCCACCAACCCTCTCCCACGTCTGTTCGAGTCACTGCCAGGATTTCACCAATTTTTATTGAAATCTCCGATGAGCCTGGCTCACCAGAGAAATCGTACATTGCTCGCACATATGATGTCATTCTAAAATAAATTATTTATTTATATGAGTTTTTAAACAATTCTCATATAAAAATAAATGACCAATCTAGCAATGACAAATAGGTGTTGTTCGAAAGTCGTAATCTTCAAAATGATTAAGTGGTTGACACAGTGTTGCATTTTAATATAAACAATCGAACAATCAAGTGATGAAGTGCTTAACACGTAACCGGTTCAAGAACGATAATTATGTAAATAAGCTACCCAGAAAATCCCGGCTATCGAAACTCCAACACATTGAAACAATTAGTGCGGAATCCAGTTCATCAGGCCGTTGCGTATGAAAAGTACATTTACAAAATAGTTTCGGTTAGAGTCGTTAATCGAATCATAAGAAACTCATAGAAACTTTACCAGAAATCTCTGGTAGCGCTGCTGTGTAATTAATCGATAGCTTTTTGCTTGCAAAGTAGTGAAAACAAGTAAAAAAAAATACATAGTACGTAATTTTAATGAAAACCATCGTTCGTAAAAATAATAAACTATAATTTACAATCGTGTGACCTAAAAAATGTACAAATTGCAACATTAAATTTATAATTCGTGTAACGATGCAGGTAACCCTTATGTGAAACAACCGATTGTTATAAATTGTGATTACCATCGCTATGACATTTAATTGCTATTGCAAATTTTATTAATGGAGTCAAATTTGATGCTAAAATAGCGTATCGGCGTGGAAAATATTTCAAAGAATTGCTACTACTAGACAACGCACTAAGTAAGTATTTCGACTTCCAGCCACTAATTCCAACTAATAATTCATGTTGAATTAAGAATTGTTCATAGTTTTCCACGTAAAGCCGGCTGGAAAACGAAGCCTCATTGGCAAGCGTGAATAAAGGTCGATGTATCTGTGTTTGATTACTAGCAAATTGAGGATCATTGATTTAGTGAAAACATGTATATTTTTTATAATTGACAAAATGTATGCAATAATTAGTTAAAAAACTATACTTTTTGTTAAGCTCCTTAAAATGTCGAGTCTCGATATATACGACGACACGGAAAACCTTATAAGTAGCGATGAATACAGCGAAGAGGATGATGATGAACTTATGAATGTCGCTATAAGCTCGCAGCAGAAAAGCAAGCGAGGAAGTTCTGATCGGATATATAATATACCAGCTTCTATGCGAACCTCCAGAAAAGAACAGAGACTGCCGTTTAAAAGAAAACTGTGTAGCAAATACAAAGCTAGAGCATTGAAATGGTATATGCCAAAATCATACGTATGAGCTATTTATTTTATTCTAATATAAATATTTTTTAACAGGCTCAGTGGAAAAGCGAAACGGGAAAAGAGTAAGGAGTATTTACTATGTTTAAAAAGGAAAAATACCGCCGTCATTGAATCTCATACGCGTGAACGAGAATATAACTCGCCTGATAATTATAAGAAAGCTAAATTAACAAATAACTTATCAGAAACTATAGATTTAGATGAATCTGATGTTGAGGATATTTCTCCAAACAAAAATAAAGAGAAAAGTAAAGTAGAGCTCGAAGAGGAAATCAAAGAAATACCAAAGGAAGAAGTAGTTTCAAAACCGCAATTTTTTGAAAAACAAGAGGAATTGGTAGAAAAACAAAACGATTTAGGTGAAAAACAAAGCGCTCTACCGGAAAAACCAATAATACAGGTAATAACAGTTGTATATAAGTTAAATATTGTGTTAAAGTTTTTTTTTCAAATATTTTTATATAAATTTTGAAGGAATCGCCAGCACAAACGCAGGAACAAAGTTGCAATAAAAGAGCACGCTCCCCTTCGCCAATAACAGAAGACAATTGCAATGAAAATAAAAAACATCAACCAGAGCGGCCAACATCGACACAATTGTACAGACAAATCAATGAGCTGTTTCCCAAATACGATGGGGTACTTGCAAACCATGTAAAACACAACGGTACTACTTTGGGTGCAATCGATGAGAATATGACACGTTTAATGCTGGACATACAAACTTTGAATGAAATACTTGAAGCAAAAGAGACAGAATGGAATCGGCTGCAGAATTTGAAAAGGGTTAAAGAAGAAATACTCGCGCGATTAGAACGAAAAAAGCATATACTGAGCATAAAAGATAGGAAATTTGAAGAGCACAAATATAATTTACAAGCCTTGAAAGAACTGGAAACGTATCTAGCCGAAGCACACCCATCGACGTCAGCCAATGTTGGTCTCTCAACTACACATCAGCTCATCGAAAATCGTGCAAGCATGAAAACAGAAGAATTGCAAAGAGAGCGTAACAATACAAATCGGTTACAAAAGTTCGTAATACCAATAGAATAATACATCTATACAAATTAATATATATATTATTTATTTTTCTCTATGCAGCATTTTAATTTCGAACAACATTCTACAGCGCGTGGAAGCGTCAAACTATGATATTGACAATACTAAAAATGATGTATCACCGACACATCAAACCGCATTTAATGAGGATAGCCCAGAGCTGCACAAGTATCAGTATTTGGAACAGAAAATTAAATCGAAAATCGGACGACAGGGACCTTTTGTCGATGTAAAGAGTATGGTTGCTGACTTTCGGCAACAAAATCCCGTTGTATTCCCGCGCGTTGGCAAGCGTATTAAAACCATCGATGGTAATTACAGCGTTAGAGCGCTAAGTACGCCGCCAAATGTGAGTTTCTATTTTTGATTTTGTAATATGCAAGTGCGAATATAATATTATATATGCATTTACAGTGTGTTGATGGCAACAATGTGTATATGGATTCGTCATATAACTGCAATGGCTCCAATTATACGCCGACATTAGAAAAATTGCTAAGTACATCGTCGCGCAACAACAGCTCCTTACACAACAAATCCAGTGCACCAGCAACACAAGGTTTTAAATTTAATACAGAAAGCCAAAAAAGTTACTATCGTCTGCAAAGTGATAGTGGTTGTAATGAAATTTCAATAACGCCAGTGAATTGCGTTAATCGCTACCAACAAAGAATACAAAATTCCAAATCGGGACTACTAAGAACGGCACTAGATGTGGTGTGTATAAGTTAACAGTAAAATTTATAGTAAAGTTCTTGCTCATTTGCTTTAAAGCTCTATTATATAAAAATTAGTACATAAATTGTTTGTGATTTGCGCCAATTGTAATACAATTTAAAGTTTTGCAATATTATATAATATATATACATATATAACAAATCTCTCCTTTTCTGTCATCCTCAGAATTCGCAGCATAACGCTTACTACGATGTGTCCGATTATGTAAAGTCATCACACAAAGCGATGCGCAATATGCACAACAGTGATTTACAATTGTGTCAAGAGTGTAAAATGCATGAGGCGCGCTTTGTTTGTGCTGGTTGTGGCAATCAATGGTACTGTAGCAGGGAGTGTCAGGTAAGTTTAACTCAAATATATACAAATTCAACATTTGAATCCGTAGAGTTGCTGAACTGACGTGTTTCCCCCCTTTTCCTTTACAGGTTACTGCTTGGGATAAACATTCAGATGTGTGCAGTGAGTGAAAGCGGCAGAATGCTTTCACTCACAATTGACGTCGTAAACATTTATGTATTTTTTCATAATAATATTAAAATATGTATGTCATTAGCTTATAGAATTTCAGATTATTTCCTAAAGTTTCCATGACTAAATGGCATCTTATACTAAAAAAGAAAATTAAATAAACACAAAACCATATAGCATAAAGTAATTTCACTACAGTTTCATCTTTTTGGAATAAGAACATTTTTTTCAAAATAATTCAATTAATTCGAGAAACCGTCACACAAAAATCATACATTTTTCCGTCCAAATCTCTAATAATTCAAAAACTCATGCACTTTTTTTTACAAATTCACCACTATATAATGAATGATTTCATACATAGCGAATCAATACTGTTGTTGTTGTAGCAATACTCAAATAGTTTTGTAGAACTGAGCGACATTAGTCAAAAACCTGTATTGTGATTACTAGAACTAGAGAAAGTTATAGATTGATTTCTTTTACTTTTGGCAATTAAAAGAAGTTTGCTTGAGAACATATTTCAACGTAATTTTAATAAAACAACTCACAGCTTAACTGATAACTTCGGCATAAAATCAACTAATCAACAAAAATTATTTTGTAATTGTATTATATGTGGACCGGTGTAATTTATGGACGCATTTCACACAAAGAACGGTTTATTTAAGCAAGTATATTCACTTAATTTTGTTAGACTAAAACTTAAAAAAGCTTACCAATCCAAACAGGGTTAGATCGCCGAAATAACAGCCCTTAGCCATTTAAAATCCGGGTCAATTTCGGTAACATAGAACCGGCACTTGTGGGAATTGCGCAACTTCGTTCTGGATACTGTAGCAGGTTAAACTCCTACTTATCCAGAATCGACCCCGATATACCCAATATATGTCCTGCATGCAATGAGTCTCTGCATGACACTAACCCCTCTTTGCATGCCCAACGAACACTACTCATCTAACATCTATTTCTCTATGGTCCAACCCCGTCGAAACAGCTCGTTTCCTGGGTGGTGGAGTTGTCATTACTACAGGTATACAGGACTAACTATACCTGCCTAGAGCTTACTATTTATAGTGTTAGAAATACGTATGTAAATATATCATTTTTTCCCTTTTTATTCTAGCTTTTAATTTGAAAATTAATTTTTTTATTTGTTCAAATTTTTAAATTAAAAAATATTTTCTCAATTTTTAATTTAAGATGTTTGAGATTTTAAATTAAATTTTCAATAAATAATAATAAAACTTTCAATCTTTGTTTAAAAATTGAATTTTCAAATTCTCAAACTTAGAATTAAAGATTAAAAATCTAATTTGTAATAAAAAATGTTTGAATTAAAACATTCACAACCCGGATATACATAAATAATTTGCAATAAAAAATCTTAAGCTTTAAATTACAATATATTTTGCAGTCGAATTTATTTTATAATGCCCATCATACATTATTTACTATACTTAAATACTTTTTCATTAATACAAATTACAAGAAACGTACATATATACATAAAATACTAAATCAGTATCAACACTTAAAACTACAACACCCTTTATGCACTAAATGTAAGCACTAGCAGTGGTGAACCGCTGTTATTCACTGGCCACAGATTGTTCCCGCTCATCAAATACACTTTTAGCGTAGTTGATCTGAAAAATGAAAGAAAACCAACGAAAATTCAAAAAATGAGGAGCTGAACCCTTAATCAAAGGACTTAAAATACAATTAAAATTCTTAAATGGGTTTTATTCATTGCATTGTAGACATTTTCAATAATACTTACACAACGTGCTGCACGTTCCGCCACTTCCTCTGTTTGACATTTGACACGCGGTCGCGTGATTTTCGGTAGATTGGTGGAAATCTCTATATAAAAGCTAGGTGCATGCTTACTACCACCCGGCGCACCGGAATTCACCACATTCGTGGTCAGCGGATGACAGGAGAGCACTTCGCTTAAGTGACACTCAAACATAATTGTTGGATCTTCATCGCAACGTGAAAATATACGTATGAATTCGGTGGTGACTAGTAGACGCAGTTTAGCGTCTTTATCATTGCACAAATTCGGTTCATAAGACATAAGCTTCTCTGTGAAGTTTCTACGATTTATTATATACAAATATTGCTGGCCCTTCGCCTGTCGATACGAGTAGGCGGGTAGCAAACCACCCGACGCACCAGTGACACAACGTGGCAAACGTTTGCGATCGGGCAGCATGCGTCCCGAAGTTTTGCTCGTCTCACGTACAGCGCTCGCCGTTTCCGATGCCAAATCAAGCACACCAATTATGGGTTTCGTAACGGTGCCAACCAGCCCTCTACCGAGCCCACTCAATAAGCCAGGGAAACCGTCTGATTGTACACCTGTGTAGGTGTGTCGCACAATACTTGTTACGCCACCAAGCAAACCGAAGCCGAGTCCTTTTAGACCTGCCGCCAAATGATTACCAGAGGTATTCGACTGTATTTCCAGTATGCGTTGACGTGTTTCATTGTCGTGCTCATCGAGCACAACGCGACCCAAGCTATCCGATAATGTTTCCGTTAGTTTAGCTGTTGAATTGGAAATGCCATGTGTCACATTCTTTACCAAACTCTTTACAGAACCCTCAAATATTAGGCCAGACACACCTTCGGAAAGATCATTGGCAAAACCAAGTGGATTGCCAAGAAAGTCGACACTGCCTAATATCGAAGCCGCATGCCGCTTTATTTGGCTGACAAAGTGGCTCTTGATTGCTTTTATATATACCTCCAATGGCTCAAAATGATGCTTATCGGTGAACTTGTCGAATTCTATAAGTGCATCCTCGAATTTGACCAAAGTCAAGCCAAGCGACTTTTTCGTTTCGAATAGTTCTGGCGTTAATTTGGGCGCCGTAAATACGGAGACACGCACCTGTAAAATAGAAAAATTAAAATGTGGTAAATTTATATTTTATATGATTCTAAAAAAAAATAAATAAATAAAACCGTTGTTTTTAACAAACTTTACTTCTTGGTATTTTTACGTTTATTTAACTTAATTTAATTTTTTATTATTTTTCAAAACTGACATTAAGACCTTTTCTCTAATGACCAGACCTTCACTTTCGGTGATTTATTTTTTAAAGCCTGAAAATTTCGTTATCTCAGTGAAAAGGAATTAATGCTAACTAATCAAGTCGACGAACTTTGATTATTTTAAATTATAAAATAGTTTATAGAATTACCTGACTTGATCCCAGATTAAGCGATTCAAAGTAGAATCTCCGTGGATTTGTTGATAGCGACAGTTCTTCGATATTTTGCAGGCCATGATCGTATTCCTTATTCGTTTTGTACTTATCCGATTTACCCACACCACAAAAGTAAGCCGTCTTTAAAATCAGTCGTTCTTCAAGTATCAATACACAAGGATTTATATCGAAGGTAAGATACTCGAATATTATAGCATTCTTATTGGGACTCGGCAAGAGTTTCGCTTTCAAAATTAAAGCGCTACTTGGTAAATCCTCATCATCGCTTGTGCGTACGGTATGTAATAAGACAGGACAAGAGGTATCCAATAGCTGATTGTCGATTTGCAGATCGGCCACTTTAAACTCCAACGATTTGATAAAACGTGTTGAATGCACATCTATCGAAATGTTTTCCAAGGTGATGAAGGCTAGTTCCTCCACAGGTTGACATGTTACGATCGAAATACCCAAACCCTTATGTAAATCGACTTTGAGCTGCGGAAAAAATTAAATACATTACAGTTATTCGAAAACGATCCTTTGATTTAATCCAGTACTCACTGAAATTTCATCGAACATATTGCCTTTGTGTTCATCCACCGTCATGCGACTGCTAATCGATGCATGATTCCAATTCGGGTCGGGTGTGAGCGTGATATCCTCTGGCTTCACTTTAACATCATGTATTTGTACTGTTCGAATCGGTCCATCCATCTTACTTAAAATCTCTAAGTGTCCAGAACCCGGACGTAATTTCTGAATTTCAATACTTTGCTCAAATGGAATAATTTCACTGCTGGCGACACGTGAACTCGTTTGTATGCGTCCTAGCACAACTTCCGAGCCGGGACGTAAGCCAAAAACGCCGTTTCGGACCTTTAAGTAATAGAAAACATGGTTTTATTTAGAATGGTTCAAATAAGAAATAATAAGAACAACATTTCTTCATTTTAAAAAGATGTTCAATATTTTGGGAATTTTGCTGACCTTACAATAATACTAACAACAACTTATAAAGCTGATAAACTAAATTCCTTTATGAAAAATTAAATCACATTCGATATATAACAAAAAAAAATATATATATAAAAAATTATAATAAAGAAATAGGAAAATTGAAGGAGAACAAGCGCTCATGACTCTCACTCACCTGTACACACATATTCGTATGACACATTAGCCGTCCATTCTCAAAGCGCCACCGCTGCGTGGTTACTCGTTGCTTATTCGGCGGTCTTATGACCAAATTTGTATAATCATTCGGATTGAGCGCCGTTTCCACATCCAACACCATACGATAACCAGACGATTCACTATACCGGCCGAATTCAGTTGGTGGCGAAGAGCCTTCATGCTCCAACTGACCGAAGGAATTCATCAGCCAAAGCTGTGAACGATCACCGGTGCACTTATGGGCCACAATCACCTTTTTATCCCGCACAGCCAAAACAAGCTGTTGGCCCTCAATACCCAATTGTGACATTTCGCTTTCTGTGTAGGCGAATGTTTCCTTAAAAGCGATATAAATGAAATTCGCATACGTTATGCTGGTCGAGTTTTCCATTTTGTTGAGTGGAAATTCAATTGTATTGCCGCCGGGCACCTCAATCTGCAGCATGTGTGCACCTAAGGGATCATCCAAAGCGTAGGCAAGCGACGACTGCGGTCGTACGGTTGAGCGCCAATGTGGCTTACAGGCATATTGATAGAAATGTGTCATGATTTCTGAATAATTATCGATGCGTATGGGTGGCGGCAGGGTGTGTGCATCGCTGAATAAGAAAAAGTATGTGGCGCCTTTGGAAATCACCTCCAAGCGCAAAAAGAACATTTCACCCAAATCGTTGCGCACGTTAATATATATGGAATGTACTTCGTTGATGGGTATGCCATGTGACCAATGACAGAAACTCACATCGCTTATGCGCACACATAGCAGCGGCTCTTGTTCGTAGTTCGGCCA